CCAATGCTATTTCTCACCTCGCACCACCCCTTTCACTCTAACTACACCGGCCCCTTCACTGTTCAAATTGTCAAGCAGGTTCCTTCCTGCCCCAGGGCCTTCGTGCTTGCTATGCCCTCTGCCTGAAACACTCATCCCCAGGCATTTTCAGAGCTTACTTCCTTTACAGCTCTGCTTAAACTCACCACCTCAGAGATGATTTTTCTATCAACCAGCTTCTACTAGATTTTGCTGCAGTAACAAATAACCCCAAAATCTTGGTAGCTTACATCGTCAATTTGTCACTCATGTGACACACTGACTACAGGTCAAGTGTGGCTCTTCTCATGTCCTATTTAATCTGGGATCATGGCTGAAGGAGCAACCCCATGTGGGACAGGCAGTTATCATGATCAAAAAGAAGAGCAATGAATGAACTAGGCCGTAGCTTCAAAACTTCTGCTCAGAGTCAGCACACCTCCCGTCTGCTCACATTTCATTGGCCAAAGCAAGTCATATGACCAAGCCTGCTGCCAGTACAGCAGGACAGTAGAATCCTCTTGCAGGGAGGGCAGAAAATAACTGGGAATAATAATACAATCAACCAAACCTTCCCTGACCATGCTATAATGTCCTGTGCCCCTCCAGAATTCTCCATCATCCACTCTTAACTATAAACAATAGACACCACTGGTTAGTCCAGGCAGAGAAGCTAGCAGGTAGCTTGCAGAACCTCTGCAAGGATCAAAGAGAGAGACTCTGAGCTATGGAGGAGAAACAATGCCAGCTTCCCATGCGGATGTTCCTGGACTGGGCTCCAGAAACCTCACTCCATCCTTACTCCAAAGAACCATATGCAGGGCTGCCCTGTTGCACAATTCCAGAGCAATATACACACTGTCGGCTATGGAATTCCCTGTGAATACGGTGTGTGTGGCACCCCCCAAGTTGTGTGATGCAGCACCCCGCAGCACCCACCTCCTCGGGCAGACCTGCCAAATGAGCAATTCCCCCCACGGGGCTGCCAGCTTGTCTTGCCACCTCCAAATGCAAGTCAGTGGGTGAAACCTGGTTCACAGACTTACAGCCTGCTGCAAGAAACACTAAAGCTGTGAGTTTTTTTGGTTTCTGCCTTGGGAAGGAATGACACAGAGGGGAAAGTGGAAGGAGGACAGTCAAAAGTGTTGGGCAGACGCAAAGGACGGATTTTGAAGAAAGTCTTCCTCATCTCCTGCAGTCGATCGAATTATATTTCCCCAAAACTCCCTGAAACTTGAACTGTGTCCCCCAAGTTTTCTGTATTAGAAACTTAGCCCCCACTGTGACTGTCAAGAGGGTGGGATGTCCTATTATGGTAATTGAAAGGTGGAGCCTTAAACAGGTGATTGGATTGTAGGACTGTGCAGTAGTGAATGGATTAAAAATGGTGGTCAGGGGCGTGGTTCTGAGGGCTTTAAAAGAAGAGGGGAGTCTGTCTGTCTGTCTCTCTCTGCTTCCACCTTCTTGCAATGTGAGACCCCTGAGTCACTGTCACCACCACTGGCTGGACTTTGGACGTCTCAGCCTCAGAAACTGTAAGCAATGAATTTCATTTTCTTTACAAATCACCCAGCTCCATGTACTCTGTTATAAGCACCACAAACGGACTAACACACCCCCTCACCCGCCCTCTCTTTCTTCGTGGCCTCGACCACACTGGCCTTTACCCGACGCCGTACCTGTCTGCCTGTTTATTACCTCGCTCTTCCCGTTTCCATCCCTGCATAGGACCTCCAGGAGGGCAAGGACTTGGTCTCTTCTTCATGTTGTGTCCTCAGCACCTAGGACAGGGCCTGGCACATAGTAGGTGCTCAATAAATATGTACTGATTAAATAAATATGGGGGACAAAAGCCCCAAGGTGGGGGAGTCCAAAGGGCCATAGGAGACAGAGGAGGTCATTTCAATGAGATCCCAGACACACCTCAGGGATCGGAAGTGCGGAAGGGTCCGAAATGGGTTGTCCGGGGAGCTACAGAGCTCTTTGGCTCACCCACCCAGAAGTTTCCCTCCACCACATCTTCCTCCCACCCTACTCCAGACATGAAACAAGACATTTGATTTAATTCATCCATTTTGACCCCATGGACCTTTTGGCCTTCTCAAGTATTTATTGACTGAAAAAAAATTTTTTTTTTTAACTCAGGAACACCAATCACTGAAGCCCCTCCCCCTCCTGCTGACCCCCACCACATCCTGGCCCAACCCAGAGACCCTCCCATTTCTTGACTCCACCTCTGACTTTATGCCAACCTTCACCCTACCCTTTACCCCCGATCCTGCCTTGATCCCACTTTTGTGCGTCAGTGACTGAGAGCCCGTATTATTCCCATTACATGGAATTATTCAGGACCAAGCCTTTAATGGTTTGTTTCCAGGCCGAGGCCCATTCCTGTCGACTTACAGCCTGCTGCAAGAAACACTAAAGCTGTGAGTTTTTTTGGTTTCTGCCTTGGGAAGGAATGACACAGAGGGGAAAGTGGAAGGAGGACAGTCAAAAGTGTTGGGCAGACGCAAAGGACGGATTTTGAAGAAAGTCTTCCTCATCTCCTGCAGTCGATCGAATTATATTTCCCCAAAACTCCCTGAAACTTGAACTGTGTCCCCCAAGTTTTCTGTATTAGAAACTTAGCCCCCACTGTGACTGTCAAAGGGCCATAGGAGACAGAGGAGGTCATTTCAATGAGATCCCAGACACACCTCAGGGATCAGAAGTGCGGAAGGGTCCGAAATGGGTTGTCCGGGGAGCTACAGAGCTCTTTGGCTCACCCANGAAGTGCGGAAGGGTCCGAAATGGGTTGTCCGGGGAGCTACAGAGCTCTTTGGCTCACCCACCCAGAAGTTTCCCTCCACCACATCTTCCTCCCACCCTACTCCAGACATGAAACAAGACATTTGATTTAATTCATCCATTTTGACCCCATGGACCTTTTGGCCTTCTCAAGTATTTATTGACTGAAAAAAAATTTTTTTTTTTAACTCAGGAACACCAATCACTGAAGCCCCTCCCCCTCCTGCTGACCCCCACCACATCCTGGCCCAACCCAGAGACCCTCCCATTTCTTGACTCCACCTCTGACTTTATGCCAACCTTCACCCTACCCTTTACCCCCGATCCTGCCTTGATCCCACTTTTGTGCGTCAGTGACTGAGAGCCCGTATTATTCCCATTACATGGAATTATTCAGGACCAAGCCTTTAATGGTTTGTTTCCAGGCCGAGGCCCATTCCTGTCACTAAGGAGTCATTTGCCCAGGGGGAAGAGGCAGAGTATGGGGTGGGGGGCCCAGATGTGAAGCTCAAACATCAGCATGGAAGGGAGGCACCCTCTGATCATCCAGAGTTCTGAGAGGAGGTGCTGGAGCCACAATAGCTGGGGATCCCTGAGAGGTGGGGGAACCCCAGATGTTGACAGCATGGTCCAGAGGAGGAACATAACAGTGACCACAGGTTCCCAATTCAGAAATAACTAAGCAGAACAGGATGACAGAAAATTCTGAGATTTCCAAGACACCTACCTCTATGTTTCCATTCAAAAATTCACCTACATTCCTCTAGGGTGAGAGACGCCAAGCATCAGATCTGCTCACCCATGGGTGCATCCCACAAGTGGGCATCTGAATCAAGGCAGAAAGGGCAGCCAGGGACAGAATCCAAACTAGCAAAACTCAAAGGAGGAATATTCTAGGAAGACTTAGGGAGGTCGCAGAGCAGGGGCCAGAGCTGCATTGGGCCTCATGGGGACCCTGGCCAAGATGGACACTGTTGGGGACTGGGAATTCTCTCAGGCTCTATCTATGAGCCTATGGTTCTCTGGGTCTCTCTGTCACCTCTCATTTGTCTCATATCTCTCTCTGTCCGTCCTGTGTCTCTGTCTCGCTCATCTGTCTCTCGTCTCTCTGGTTCTCATCCTCTGTTGCTATCTCTGTGTCTCTCTCTTTCTCTCTCCCTATCCCCCAGTCACTGTCTCTGAGTGTGTCTCCGTCTGTTTCTCTCATTTCTCTCTGTCTCTCATCTCTCCCTCCTGTATGCTGTTCCGTAACCCCTATTGCCTCCAGACTTCGTGGTGTGCTTGCTGTACGTTCATCTGTTTGCAGTCTGTCTCCCTCCGCTAGAACGCGGGCTTCCTGGAGGCAGGGATTTTTGTCTGGCTTGTTTTCTGCTGTATCTCCAGTGCTTGGAATACTGCCTGTCTCAGTCAATACATGTTGAATGAAGAATGAATGAATCATCGCTCTCATGAACATTATTATCTGACGGCACTGTCAAGCAACAATACTAATAATTGTCGCTGCTGCTGCTGCTGCTGGTATAACTGCTGTTTACTGAGTACAAACCGTACATCAGAAATTGGGCTAAGCAGTTTCTTGTTTAAGCCTAAGAGAAATCCCCCTGTGTAGTGAATACATACTATTATCATGCCCATTTTTCAGAGGAGGAAAACTGAGGCCCACAAGGAGAAGCATCTAGCCCAGTGTGAGCCCAGGCCTCGTCTGATTCCAAAGCCCATAGACTTAGGATGAATGGAGGAACAGCCTGGTGGTTGAGAGCTCGATATCTGTGCCAATGACGGGTTCGAATCTCAGCTCTGCCGCTCAGCGTCCGAGAGCCTTTGGTAAATTGCTTCCCGTGTCTGCGGGCTTCGCCTGTAGAATGGAACTGTCGCATCGGAAGCATCCTCACATCCTCCCCACCTTCCGGGGCTGTCGCGGGAACCGAGTGCCGAGCGCCGCGCAGGCGCGCAAGGGGCGCGCTGGACCTGCCCGTCCCGGTTAGCTCCTCCGCGCCGGTGGCTGAAGTCGCCTCCTTCGTCACTGGGCGGCACGTCATTCTTGAGTTTGGAGAAGCGGGACTTCCCCTGCCGCCCCCAGGGGATTCTTGGGCCACAGCTCGGGCGTCAGGACACTCAGGAGCAGAGGCCGAGGCAGAGCGACCAGGGAGCGCGCCACCGCCCCGGGCGCGGACACCCCGGAGAACCCCAACATGGCCGGAGCCGCGCCCTCAGCGTGGCTGCCGCTGCTGCTGACGCTGCTGTCGCCGTCCTGGGCACCCCTGGGAGCCGGTAAGTGACCCCCGCGCAATGCAGCGGCCCCTGCGCCCCGTCCCCCCTCCGCAGGCAGCCGGGACACTCGGCCTCCTGGGTCCCCGGAGGCTGCGGCGCCGCGTCCTCCGCCACCCAGCCCGCTCCGCGCCGGGGCTGGAAGGAACACGGGGCCGGGCACGACCCTCCTCTCAGCCTCTCGGAAACCCGCTGTTACTTGGGTACTGAGATTCCCGAAAGACGAATCCGTCTTCCGGGAAATCAGCCGAGGGTGACTCATTCGTGCTCACCTTACCCCATGCTCCTGCTCACCGTATCCAGACCATCCCTCCACACCCTGCTTAATCACAACAGATGGTTGATGGGGGAAGGAGGCGACAGTGGCACATGACCCCATCCCGCCTCTGATCCCAAATGTCTGGCTCTAAGGGCCTGGCCTTTCATTTATTCATTCATTCATAAATTACTTCAAGTCAGCCCACCTTAGGTTCAGAACTCGGCTTTTGGCATTTAATACCCGTGTGACCTCAGGAAAGTTAACTAAGTTCTCTGTTTCCATAAAATGTTTGTGTGGTGGGGGAGAAGGGAGAGTGGGTCCTCCCTGTGAGGCTGTCTTGAGAGGATGTTGAACGATGTTGGATGGACTTGGTAATAACAATAACGATGATAATAGGTGTAAACAGTAATAATACCGAGTGCCAGAGTTCCTTATCTCAGCATTTCCCAAAAAAGTGATTTGCAAAACATTGGGTGCATCTCCAGAAAAGCTGATGCTTAGGCTTAAACTGTGCAAAGAGGATCGCTGGCCCAAAGCCCTTTGAAGAGGTTCCCAGCATGGGACCTATTGTGAGCCCTGTATACAGATAAGGAGACTTAGGCACAAAGAAGTAACTTGCCCAGCAGGAAGTGGCAGAGCTGGGTGAGTGAGCTGATACGGAGACGCAGCCCCTCCACCAGGACAGGAAAGTCCGGGGTGCGGCATGGGCCACACCCAGGTCCGAACCCAGGCTCTGCCCCTCATGTGCTGGTCAGCCTGGGCAAATGACCTCATGCTCCGAGGCTCAATTTTCCCCTCTGTGCGATGGTGGTGAAAAAATGGTGTGTCTCATGGGACTGCGGAAAGGGTTGGAGGAGGCTATCTGTGAGGTCCCCTCCCCCAGCTTCATCCCCACAGCCGTCCTACCAGGGAGGAGACCTCGGCATCACCTCAAGAGGAAAAAATAGCTAAGAGAACCAGACTCACTTACCCAGAGCCCCACGGCAAGTCAGTGGTAGAGCTGGCACTCGAACCCAGACCCCAGACCAGCATGCTCACCGCTCACAATTACCCTGTGTCCTCTCTCCACCCAGCGTGCTCCAAGCACCTCTGTCCACCACCTCCTGGCTTCTTTCTCATCTGAACCATTATTATAATATTCACCATTATAGAGTGCTTATCATGTGTAATCTCTTTACATATATTTCATCATTTAATCCTCCAACAACCCCCATTTTAAAGATGAGGAAACTAAGGCTGAGAAGTGACACCACCTGCACAAGAGCAGACAGCTAGTAAGTGGTAGGACTTTGCTCCTTCCCACCTTCTCCGTTATCCTTATTATTATTAATAAGAATGCATAGCATTATGTTTATTAATGTCAATAAGAGCTAACATATTGAGGACCTACTGTGTGCTGGGGCCCTAGGCAGAAGGATTTTCATATAGGGCCTGGTAGACTAGAGGTCAGGACTCTGGCTACAGACAGCCCAGGTTCAAATCCCACTTCTGTTGCTTACCCTCTGTGTGACCCGGAGCAAACCACTCCATGTCTCAGTTTCCCCATCTGTAAAGTGGTGCTAACAGTAATGCTTGTCTCAGGGGGCTGTTTGAGGATTAAATGTTGAGAGATGTGTGAAGCACTCCACATAGACCCTGATCTGTGTAAGAGCCCTGTGAGTGTTCATTGTTATTAGTCCCATTTTACAAACTACAGGGAAAAATCACAGAGAGGTTAAATAACGTGCCCGAAGCCTCATAGCAGAGATCTGAAGGGATCCAAAGCCCCCGGGCTATAATTGCCTCCCTTCTTGTGCCAGGATCCCCCATGTACATTCTCCCAAGCTGGATCCACCCAGAGTAATACCATATGTCACGGATTCTAAGACCCACAGTTTCCTCCCGTTTTCTAAATTGGGGACACTCTAACCGCTGATGGCAAGTTGTGCTGTAAATGACAACGGTCATGGTGCACCTTAAAATCAATGATGCTGAGGTACTGAAAAAGTTCCGAAACTAGATAGTAGTGATGGCTGCACCGCACCGTGAATGACTGAACGCCACTGTCTTAATTCATTTTCTGTTGCTTCTGACAGAATACCTGAAACTGGGTAATTTATAAAGAAACAAAATTTATTTCTTACCATTCTAGAAGCTGTGAAGTCCATGGTCAAGGGGGTGCATCTGGTGAGGGCCTTCTTGCTAATGGGAACTGCAGAATCCCCAGGGGGTGCAGGGCATCACATGGTGAGGAGACTGAGCATACTAGCTCCGGTCTCTCTTGCTCTTCTTATAAAGCCACCAGTCCCATGCCCGTGACAGCCCATTAAATTCATTAACCTATTAATCCATTAATTCATGTTACCAATGGGATTAACTTTCAACATGAGTTTTGGAGGGGACAAACATTCAAATCATAACAACCATTGAATTGTACACTTTAAATGGCGTAAATGGTAAATTAATTTTTAAACCACAATATTTACCACAATTTTTAAAAATCGATGATGCTGAGATCGAGAAAATAGGGTAATGATAGCAGGAAATAAGGTAATAATAGGTGCGATGAAGGGGCGCAGAGCCCTCCTGGCCGCCCTCACCCCCGTCCCCTGCCCCGACCCCCCGGTCGTACCATTGTCTACACCCGGGTCTGATCCGCCCTCGCTTTCCACGCAGGCACAGCGGCCATAAGCGTGCAGGCGCCCGCCCAGGTGCGAGGCTTCTTGGGCAACTCAGTGATGCTGCCGTGCCACCTGCAGCCGCTGGAGCCCAACCTGCAGGTGACGCTGGTGACGTGGATACGGCGGGGCCCGGCGGGCAGAGACCGCAGTGTGGCAGTCTTCCACCCCGTGCGGGGACCCAACGTCTCCGAGCCCGGGAGGTTGGAGTTCGCGGCCGCCAGGCCAGGCGCGGAGCTGCTGGACGCATCGCTGGTCGTGTCCGGGCTGCGCGCCGAGGACGAAGCCAATTACACCTGCCAGTTCGCCACGTTCCCGCAGGGCAGCAGGAGCGCGCGCACCTGGCTCCGCGTGCTCGGTGAGGCGGGGCGGGGGGGGAGGAGAGGAGCAGGAAGCAGACACAGGAGGGGGAGGCCTGGGAGGGAGGGAGATTCCTTCCACAGCAGAGATTCTGTGGGGACAGAAAGCAGGGGGTAGGGCAGTGGTTGGGGGGAGGTAGGAGGAGGGAGGGGCTGCAGGGCAGGGAGTGAGTAGAGATCCTAGGGAGTAAAGATCTTGAACACTGGTGCAGAACATGGCAGGGGGGTGGGGGATGGGGGAGGGGAACATTGGGACGGGGATTGGG